TAAAGATGTAACCCGATGTGGGTACCGTAATGGTCTTTTTAATTAAATAGCCTACAATTTCAAACCAATTTGACTTTGTTGTCATGTTGTGTTCCTGGTAGCATAGAGTTGTATCTTTCATTGATGATCAGTCCCTTTCAGGTCACTGATTTGTGTGACTAACTGTTAAGAATGAAGCAAGCTGTGTGTATTTTTACAACAAAAGATTAAAAAATTACAGTTCTAATTCACACTTTTAAAATAATCCTTCTGTTCATATTTGGAATCCCAGTGCAGCTGGCGTTAGTTGAGTCATATTTTTAGCATTAGGTGTCAGACAGGAATCTTTTTACAGCCTCCCAAATGCCTGATACATTTAGCACGTTCCTCTGACTTCTCTCATTAAGGGTTAAAGCTACATGTAGACAATAAAAGTCTGCAGCTTTATCATTTAGAGGAAGACCAGACATATATATATATGTGTGTGTGTCTGTGTGTGTGTGTGTGTGTGTGTGTGTGTGTGTGTGATAGAGAGAGAGAAGTGTTATATTTGAAATGTCTAAATCAATATTTCTACAACTGACTGGAACCAAGTAATATTCAGAACCTGTCAATGCAGTCCTGATGTGATATTAGTTTTCCACATGACATGGCAACAAAGTGCACATTTCAAGTTAAAGACATTCTTGCTTTATGAAGAAGTGCCAGAAGTCTGTCTTAAAAATATATTTTGAGCAACCTCAATAAATAACGGACAATAATCTCATGACTTTTCATATTGTTCAAGCTGGTATGGCAGACTGGCAGATTTCTAGTTTAAAATGCATGCAATGCCACATTTTAGCTTCTCTTTGACTTTCATAAAATATATGTGATTCTGCTGCCAAGTTCTGGACAACTTGGACACTAACCAAGTTGTGAATGTCTGTTTCCATGACAAATAAAGAATTAAAAGGACTGTGAGGACCAAAGGATAATAAATACATAAGCAAGGTAAGGTAACTGCTAATTACAATCACTTCTTTTGAGCTTCATTTCTGTTGTAGTTGCTTCTTAACACACCATTTGAAACTTTTTGAGCTTTGATTAGTATTTTGCAAATTTAGAACAATTACCTTTTCACATACTTAACCAAAACATTTGTCAATCTTTCCTTGGGTTTGCAGAACAGACTTTAAGCTTGTGTTTGGGGCTAGAGTTCTCACTAGCCTCATGTGCGTATATAAGAGGTGTATTATATCTTACCGTGTTGAAATTGGGGAAGATGCTGAGAGGCGAGGAGCTGTTGACCCTGAGCGGCAGGAAGTGCTCCAGCTGGGCGTGAGCATGCGGCTGGAGGGGTCGACCTGGCAGAGGCAGGGAGCCCAGGAGTGGGTGGACCTGGCTCTGGGAGAGGGCACCTACAGCAGGGTTGAACACGTCATTGTCACAACTGTTTTCTTTAACTCCTGCTGTGATTCTCTTGTGGAGAGCCTTCAATTTAATTTGAGGCCATCAAAGCTGCACATCCTTATGCACACACAAGGTTAAAGACAGAGCTTAGCACACGCCATATGACACCAAGACCCATTCCCACAGTGAATGATTCACTCAGTAAAGCTTTAATGACTTAGTAGAATAGAAGGAGATAAATGATGAGAGGCTTTGTGTGGCCTTTCCTGTTTTACAAGTCCATAGTTTATCTTGACAAATGTCTCTGGCCTTTAAACCCAGCAATAATGTGTGTAATTGTGTGGTTTTGTTCCTCCTCAGATCCTGCAAATGGGTCAGTCAGCATAAAGAGAAAAGTATTGTAAGGTTTTTACAGCCTGAGGTGACAGATTTGCCTTTTGTTGCTCACCAATGTTCTGTCTTCTTGCATACTTTAGCTTCGCAGTGTTTGTTTTGATGAATCCCACAGAAATTTCACCATCACATTCTCCTCTGAAATCTCCTTCCACATGACCTCTCATCTCATCATGGTTAATTTTGGTTGACCTAAATGCTTTCAGACTGCTCATGCTTTAAAGAACACCGCGGCACTGACCTTTGTCTAGACCCAAAGTAAACATCAGTGCGCTCACATTAAAATGTACAGTGTCTTACATAAACATGGCGATTACAGAATGTTTGTAATGCCTGTATGCTGAAAGTCCTGAAGTCTGTTAAGTGAAAAGGTCATGTGTAAATGATAAGTTAAAATGAATATAAGTAAGAAATGGAGCTGGAGTTTTTTGAACTTGCCATTTCAAATCATAACTATAACTATAAATTGTTTATTTTTTACTAGTATTATTCAGTATCTTGTATACTTATACATATACTATTAGTTTTTACAGGCCTGTACATAACTATGTAGACTTACTTTATAGTTATTTCCAATAAGTCCATATAAGTCCGTATTTGCTTCTTACATTTTCCTGAATGACATTCGATAACTAAACTAAATTATAAGGATTTCACTTGAATACCTGTTGGTTACAAAGCTAATTTTCTACTAAAAAGCAAACTTTCCTCGAAGTTGACAGTGAACTATTTTTTAGTATTTTACTGATGAAACTCCACATTCACCAAAAAAACACCCAAAAAAACCTGGCACATTGCAAATAGCTGTCTCTTCACTACAATACAATATCAAGTGTTTTTCTTCCATTTGAAAGACAGACCTTGAGTTGGTATGGATTTAAAAAATGCGGTTATTGGGGGTGGAGGGGAGGTTTGGCCTTAGCGGGACGGAAAATGTCAAGAGGAGTTGGATGAGGGCTGAAGGGATCAATGGCTGGTAGGAGTAACCTTCTGCATATAAAAACTGAATGAAATTGACTGATGATGCCAGAGGTATTAACATACCAGATGACAACTGGAGGATGAAGAGAGATGACTCACTAACTTTGGATTTAGGAAAGATATACGAGGAACCCACAATGTACATGTTTACCCATATTGAAGAAGAAAAATAAATACATTTTTATCACATCACCAAAACATAGATTATCATAAAGTGAATTGTTCATCAGCTCCTGAACATGTTCTCTAAATACTAATGGGAGTGAATTCAGTCAGTCTTAAAGCTGGAGTCTAATGATGTTATTTCATAGTACTGAAAAGCAGAGCAACAAGTAAGAAAATTTCCCCAATTTTTTGCTTCTTTCACCTCTGGATTTCAGGTTTAATCTCTTCAGATGAGGCACGTCATAAAGCCTGTGCACAGCAGAGAGGCATAACAGTAGGAGGGGAAGGGAAAGGAAAAACCTTTGCAGATTCAAAGCATGCATACAAACAGGCTAATGATTTTAGGAATCATACATATATATCATAATATATAAAAAAAAAAGTGCTAGAGAGAGATCAAAGATGTTGAGTTGTTCCATGCAGGTGACCTGGTGCTTACTTTGGGAAACAGTGGAAGGAACACACCGCTGCATGTCTTGCTTTATCATTGCCGGCAGCTACAAATGCCGCAGCAATGCCTTTTTTCTGGCAGCAAATATGGCAAAAGAGCTTGCCAGAATTTGTTTTAAAATCAGATCCAAAGTCATCCAAACAGATGCCCTATATGGAAGTAAAATATGAAAATGTATTTTGGAATATTAAACAAGACTACAGCCATGGTAGCAGCTCTGTGAGGCTGTAGCTAAATGCTAACA